CGTAAGCCTGGTAAATCATTCGAGGAAATCCTTCCTGAACACGTAAAGCAACAGCCGTCAACTAGAGGTCAGAAGAGAAGGAAAATATGTGCCGGCGTGGAGGTCATAACATCGTCAGAGGTTCTCGAACGCTTAAGGAAGAAGGATGCAGAGGAACAATCAAAAGCAGCTAAGAAAGGCAAACGGGCTCAAAAGCCTAATAACTCTCCCAGAGTATGTGAAGATTTAACAAGTTCAGGTTATAAACATGTTCGATTAAAGGAAATAAAGTTGTTATCGTTCCCATATGTTGATGAGTATTTATTGGAAATCTGAAAAATTCACATAAATTATGCCAAATATCAAATTTAAAACTGATTTGAAAAACACGACCATTGTGTTGTGTTATTTTTTTCCATATATTTTTGTATAAAAATCAAGTATGTAAGCCTGCACAGATTCGATTGAAGCTAATCATTATAATATACATGACCTGATTAATTTTAATCTGCAAATGCTATGACCCAACAAACATAAACTATACGATTTCCTTTACCCACTTACCCCACTGTACCTTACTTCTTCCATATTCCTGCCGCTACTCACTCGGGGCGAGGGCTGCCTAAACTCGCAAGGTACGAGTATTTTAAATCCTCTAGTGAATTTGAGGAGTTTCATCAAGCCTGGGTGACAGTATGTGGCACCGCTCTGAAGATTGGCTGCATCGCGACGAGGAACAACGTGACCGACAGCACTGACCCTTGGGGAACTCCGTTTTCCAATGCCATTTCACTCGATAAATGTTCTTCCACTGGAGGCGAACCAGCCTAAGGCTGAAAGCCTCCTAAATAAAGCTAAATAATAATAATGTTCTTCCACGTTCACTCGGAATGTTCTGTCGGCGAGGAAACTGTTCAACACATTGAACATCCGCCCACCTATATGCCACTTCCGCAGAGTGCGTAAAATTCCGTACCTCCAGGTGGTATCATATGCCTTCGATATGTCGAGTGATGCTATCAAGCAATGTTCATCACGATTGGGAAGCGACCTATCCAACTCCGCCAAGTACGTTTCAATCCCGCGCCCAGCTCTAAAAGCGTGCTGCCTTTTGTCTGATTGTCCTTTTGTCTCCAACTCCGTCGTCAATCTCCCCATGCGCTCGAAAATAGTGACTGATTACAAGAAAAAGTGACTAAGACTTGGCCTTATAAAAGGAGATTAGTGATTGGCTTAAAAAAAGTTACCAAGTCACTAAAGAGTGACTCATCCCTACCTGACCTGATACTTTGTAGTCAATATTGAGTATTTTGCAGTTACCGTTCATTGGAAAAACGGAAAAGTTTCGACTGCGAGTAATTTTGATGATATGTTTTTTCGGTTTAATTTTTAGCTTACTCATAATCGCCAAAAGTGCAGGAACTCAGCGATGAGTAAATTTGCCTCTTGTTTTTTTCAGGTTTGTCCAGGAAGAAATTCCCGAATATGAGAAAAGTAAAGATTGGATTCTCTCAGTCTATTGGAACCAGGGTTTTGCATTTTCGAAACAAAGAAAAGAAAATGAACTCTCCGCAGAATCGCTTCATTTCGAGCAATATCATTTTCGTGTAAGTCATCGTGTTTCTTGTTATTGAGTCACGATGAACATTCCTCTTTTCAAACATGACTGGACTATCACTTGTTTCGTTCGTCAAGTGAAGCACTTCATTTCATTTGCAGCAAAGACTTGTTTCAATTGACGCAATGAATGAGTCGAAAACTGCTTCCTTCGTTTTTTCCTCTTTCACTTCAATTCGGGGCTCATTCGACTTCTCACGACCTGACGACGCAGGCATAAAAATATAGTATCCGGATAGTATCCACACAATATCGACGACGCGAAGGTGCCGAAAATTGATATTCGACGTTATTTTGGAATCCAAAGTGGCGGCCACCGGATTTCAGAAAAAGTGTCAAATACCCTACCACAGACAAACAGACATAACTCTCGCAAGTTGTTCATCGAACAAGCATTTAACGGTCAATTCAAAATTATCGTAGTTGGTAAGTCCGCCACCTGTCGCGCGCACAGTCAATCGCCTTGCCTTTGACGTTTACACACTACCACCATCTGTTCAGCGTACTACCCATCACAGTGTATTCAACATATGGTGGTACATAATGTTTTAGCGACGATGTTTTACAGTGATAAATATTCAATGTGCTATGTGTGTGTGTCTATGACCCTACAATAGGATATTTTCGGAACGGGGATGCCGCGTAGATGCTGAAAACCGCCATTGGTTTTATGAAGTATCACATACCCTAAGATATGGGTATTTTCGGAACCAATATGGCAGCCATCAGAATTCAGAAAGTGTCAAATACCCTACAATATGGTTATTTTTGCAACAGGGACAACGCCTAGATGCCGAAAATCGATATCAGATACCACTTTGGAATTAAATATGGCGGCCATGAGGGTTCAGAGAGTGTCAAATTATAATATGGGTATTTTTGGAATGGGGACAAAGTGTGAAAGCCGAAAGTCGATATCAGATGCCATTTTGGAATCCAATATGGCGGCCGTCGGGTTTTACAAAAAGTGTCAAATACCCTAAGATCTGGGCATTTTCGGAACGAGGACGACGCGTAGATGCTGAAAATCGATATTCGATGCTATTTGTAGGCTATTTGACACTTCTTATGAAACCGGAAGCCACCATCTTAAAATTTCAAGATGGCGTCGGACATCTATCTCTGGCTTCTAGATGTCACCCTGATGCTAAAAAAAACCGTTTGTAAGGGTATTTGATAGAATTTAAAACGTTTTCTCAAACCGGAAGCTGCCATCATGGATTTCAAAATGGCGTCGGATATTGATTTCCAATCTCCAAACCTCACCCCGATTCCAAAAATACCCATATTGATGGAACGGCATCAGCATTTCCCATTTTTTCTGAAATAGGAAGCCGTCATATTGGATTTAAAAATGGCGTCGAATATCGATTTCCGGCCTTTTAACGCCATCCTGATTACAAAAATACTAATATTGATTTGTATTTCACTGTATTTCCAAGCCGCCATCTTCAATTTCAAAATGGCGTCAGATATCGATTTTCATCCTCTAGACATCATCACGATTCCCAAAATATTTTTATTGATAAGTATTTGACAGCATTTCCCACTTTTTCTTAAACTGGAATCCACCATCTTGGATGTCAAAATGGCGTCGCATTTAATTTTTTGATCTCTAGACGCTACCCCGAGGAAACAAATACCGATATTTGATTATAGTCGCTATATTCATAGTCTGCCGGATAGAATTTCGATCTATCAAAAAGTGGAACCAATTCAATATATTTTAGACCAGCAATTGAAAAGGTCCTATCAACTTTTATAACCCAAACGTTGATTATTCTTTCCTCGACAATCGAACGCAAATCACCGGCATCAAGATAGGGGAATCTTTCCACAAACCCAAAGATAGTGTTAGTTTGCGTAGGCGAGCCTTGAATCACGAGAAAACGGTTACCAAAGTTTTGTTCGCAATAGCTGATGTGCTCTTTTCTATTGTTGGTCGTGATTTACTCGATTGGTTCCGCTATTTGACAGCTCAATTGGTTCCTGATATTCTATCCGCCAGACTATGAATATAGCGACTATAATATTGATGGGTAAACAAACCACCCGACAATGGTAAATTTGACATTCACGTGCACAGATCTGAACCAAAATGAACCGAGTGAACAAGCAACAAAAGTCATAAAAACTGCACGTATTTGGATCGAACAGCTTTGCTTCAATGCATGCAAAAGTAAGTTCATTTGACAATGAAAGAAGAAATGAACACGAGTCAAGCTAAAACAAACAGCATGAAAACTGATCGAAAGTGGTTCTGTTGATGTTGAGGGGGATCTGCTCGAAGAGAAGACAGAATGTCTTTCAATTGAAAGTGATGGTTGACAGTTTCATCGTCGCTTGACGATTTTCGATTGAAAGTGACTTTGTGGGGCCCTGATTGGAACTACTCCTAGACTGAGTAAAATTTTCATCAAATTTCCTCATTTTGCGGCAGAAATTTCCTCATCGTTGAGTTCCTGCACTTTCTGCGATTATGAGTAAATTAAACCTAAATTTGAGACGTTCACATTCGCCGTGCATGAGATTTTGTTGTTGCTTTTTCTACCGCGTTATTCAACGATTAAGGAGGTAATTTTCCACCCAATAGAATTATTAATATTTATCAATTGTATGTTACTAATGTTCCAATCAATCGTTATTTAATATAAATGCTTGTCATCTAGTGGTATCTTAATACAGGAATGGCGATGAAAAGATATTGAGAAATCTTATCACGGATTATTGTTAGAAGATTTTTCAACTATCCAAACATCATCACAAATTGAGTTATCTATTTCCATTTAGTTTCATTTCGGACAAAACTTTCTACAGTGCCGTCATTTGAACGCCATTTAAATAGTTGGATGGGTAAAGTCGCATTGGAATTGCCTTTATTTTCGGATCGTTCGGGATGTCACTCTTGCCCTTAGTTCCCCTTATTAGCAATAATAGTGTTGTACAGCTAATCTAGTGATACAACTCTTCCAGCTTTTATAATAATAATAATAATAAGTAAACATGAATCAGAATAGACACTCTAATATGTAATAGCAAAAGGGTAAATACAACCACATTTATTCAAACGAAACGAAATTAACTCATTTCACGCTTTAGAAACAATTGATAGTAGAACTAAAAGGTAACTGAAATAAATGAAGATTGTAAAATAACACCCACAACTTTTACGTTATTTTTAACCATTTTCCCTTCTAAGAGTGGACAACGCTTTAAACATGAAAAAAAAAAAACTATAGGAATTCTGTGAGAGTCGAGATATTCATATCCATTTGCGCGGTAAGATCGACGTGCTGCTAGAAGCGCACTAGCGTTGACTTTTCCTAGCTGCTACAGTACGAAACGGGATTGGGAAATAGAATTCAAAATTATAACATATCATGCAAACATTACAATCCACTTACCGGCTCTGGTAATTATCCGCTTGTATGGTTCCGGACTCATTTTGGTGAACATGAGCCGTGGTTTACTGACTCGCGACGGCTTGCGAGCTCCACCGGACGAGTCCGCTTCGGAGGAGCTCGTGTTCGTTCTTGGAGTTGTCGCACTCGATAGTTCATCCTCACTGGACTCGATGGGGATCGTCGATGGTTTGTTAGATTTGCCCCGTTGCTTTCTTGGTTCATCTTCAACCACGGGAGTGGCTTTATTGATCGCTTGTTCCCCCCGTTTGGGCCGACTGCGCGTCGAGATTGCGGATTGTTCTTCGATTTTTGACGAAGGACCAGCCTTCGGTTCGGGTTCCGATTTGGTGGTCTTTCTTGATTTGCCTGCTTTGGCGACAGGTGCTGGTGGCGGCTCGGATTTGTCTTCGGCAGCTTTGCGCTTTCTCGTAGGCTTGGTGGTCGGCGGTTCGTAATCGATAGAGTCGTCCTCGTGCTTCCTTTTGCGATCCGTTTTGGATTTGCCAGCACCTGTTTTTCCCCCTTCATTACCATTTTTACGATTTCTATCTCTGTTTTTTCGTCGCTCCGGTATGGTGACGGCCGGCGGTTTGATTTGCTTTTCTTCATCTTCATCCTTATCGTACTTCATCACGCGAAGTTTACTATCTTCCTTCAGGAACACCGGTGCAGTTGGGTCCTCATCCTCATCCGAGCTGTCTCCGAAAATATATTTATTCCGTCGAGCCGAACTGTTCGTTCGAGTCGTTCGACTTGTGATGATGTCGGAAATGGCCAGAATTTTGTCCCTTTTGGCCACACTCAGGAACGGATGCTCCGGGGTGTTGAAATCGAACGTATCGGTCTCGACTGATAGGTCACTGCTGGAGCCCTTCCGAATACGGGGTGTTTCCATGCCGGTGTTGAGCGAACTCTTTGTACTGGAAGCAGCGCTACTGTCTGGCACTTTGAATAGGGAATCCTGGCCCTGCTTCCGATTTGGCCGTTTGCCACGGTTGGTAGAAGACGTCACTGCATGAGACGAATCACTGTCTTTCCTGCGAATAGAGAAGAACGGGGGATTTATGCTTCGTGTTAGAAATAAACAATGTTTTATAGATCGTCGGTGCCACTGGCGTCTCTCTTATCAGTGCCGTTATCAAAGCACAAGTGATGCAATTTCTATGCACTTCAACTGAATAGGGATATCATCAGGAAATTAACAACACAGCTACGTAAATAATGGTATAGTACTTCAAATGAATGGATGTGATATATAGGTATATACTTTTTCACAATTTGCGCAAATTCAATGATTGAAAAAATATATTTAGACATGAATACAAAGAAAGGAACAATGATACCTAATATTAACCAATCGCTTTTGGTTTCTGGTCGCGGATCTGCGATACCTTCCAGAATTACCCATCTGCCCATTTCATATTGAATCAAACCATGTAAAGGCTTCTTCTGCGGCATGGACGACGTTTGCAATCATTGGAACAGGAAAACTAGATCTTCTAAGCAGTTGTCTCTGTGGTAATCTCGTGTTGGCGTGCACACTAGGTCACATAACACCGGAAAGTGGTCTGATCCCATTGGATCACCGTATGTGACGGGCTTTGACAGATGTGTCAGGCAGTCCGATAGGAACACGTCGATTATTGATCCCGATGACCTGAACGTTGGTTTATCTGGAAAATGGATGGTACATGAACCACGCTTGAGGTGAGCGGCTAGGATTCTTCCATTCGTGTTGGTATCACTGTTTCGCCACATGGTATGGCGAGCATTGAGGTCACCAGCCACTACGAAGCGAGTCCTACCATTGGTAAGCTTAGTAAGGTCATCAGCAAAAAGCGTGGAAGTACCGTTGCTGTTCTTGCATTGCTGGGGTGCGTAGACGGCGAACAGCGTGATGTCACCTTGAGGGGTAAAAATATTAACTCCTTTGGCCTGGATGATGGCCGTCTCCGGGTCAGGTAGTTCTTCGTATGGGATGTTGCGTTTAATAAGAATAGCCACACCACCTCCCCTTGAACTGGGACGGTCAAGTTGGACTACGGTATGACTTTGAAGTGAAAATTGTGCGTCGCGGTTGAGCCGGGTCTCGGTGATTATTCCGATGTCAATATTTTCGTTTGCCAGAAAGTTGTCGAGCTTATTTTTTTTCGACATAACAGAGCGAGCGTTCCAGTTGCAAATTATAAGGCTGCGGGGCTCTGTTGACCACATGGTGACAGACTACACAGCCACGAGCCCGTATCAGGTCCGCGCTTGGTTTGCACTGATCAAGCAGACTGGAGAACTCGTTGAAATAACACTCGTCATTCTTATCTGTCACACCAGTAACCCGTATCGATGCGCAAATAAAATGCATTATATTATAGATCGTTTCACCAAGCGTTGCTATGCAAAACATGACTAAGTGTTTGACAGAAAGTGAAGTGAAAGACAGAAAAAAATCTCACAAAATGTTCAGATGATATGCCGCGGATAACACTTGGATGACAAACTATGAGCATGAGCATTATTTGTATAATAATTATGAGCACTATACAACAACTATACAAGCGTGACCAGTGATGTGCTCATAATTTATTATACAAATAATGCTCATGTTTGTCGTACAAGTGTATCCGCGGCAATTGTGTGATCAGAAATGATGCGAGCGCGCGGGAAAAATGCGCGCAAATTGAATGTGAGTCCAATCATCTCCTGAACCTGGTTAAAACATGCAGCCATCTGATTCAGCTTTAGCGACCTGTTTGGATGCTTGCTGGTACGAAGCAAACGAATGTCTTTGCAATCGAATTCATCGACCGGAGCTGTACTGAAAACGAAAACTGGAAGGATTCCGTTAATGTTTTCCGTAAGGACAAGATTGACGGAATCCTTCCACATACTGCCAGTTAAAGCTTGGTATTACTAAGTCGAACGTGGCGTGGTCGATTCCCGGTTCGGTACAGAACATCTTTCAAGTTAAAAATATTAAATAACAATCCTTTCCCTCTCCGATGACCGTAAAAACGTGACCAGCACCGTTATTGACCTTGAAAGTAATGATTTACCGAATTTTTCACACTGAGAATGGATTGCAAATCTCAGACCCCATTTTACTGGATTTGGTCAATCACAGAGTAGCGATTACGAAATCTATGATTGTTTCATAGCTCATGCTCATGCTATGCTCAAACGTATTTTGGAATTTTTGGGATACTTACCTTACCAATCAGACTAAGGCCTTGTTGTCTCTGCTGTCCGACGAAGTCGTTTCCACTCTACTCGATGCATGGCCACACTTCGCCAGCCTCGTAGTCTGCGAAGGGTCCGCAAGTCATAGATTAACCTATCGCAGCCCGGGAAGCCGAGCGATTTGCAGTTCCATGTTCCGAGTTTCCAATCGTAGTCCTTATTTCGTCGCGTAGGTCTGTGCCGATTGTTCCGATTCGTATTTCTTTCTTCAGTATTTGCAACTTTATGTTTTTTTCCATGGCGGCTTGTTGGGCCTGCCCCAACCCCCTGTCTCGCCGGGGGACCATCGTGCACAGCTCTGTTTAGAGTCCCACGCTGGCACTAGGACGGTGATCAGCCGCTCCTAACATGGAGAACAGACGCCGTTTTGAGCCGCACCTCCATGGTGAACAGACGCTCGGGTTTGGTGAAGCATTTCCTCTATCACCGTACTATATGGTTACCGCGCCAGTGTTCGCGTCACACCTCTTCACTTTGCTATTGCCGGACTGGCAACATTGCCTAGGCTACGCCACCCAGCTTTGTCCATTAGACTGATGCAAAATTTGAAATTTTCACTCCACAGTGTTCAAACGGTTTCAAGTCGGGCCTGATTAGCCTCCGAAAGTTTAAACTCATTTGATAAGAAACTGACTTGGCACAAACCATTTGAAGTTTATATGGAAATTACTATGGGAAAACAAAACTTTTTGTTCATTGTCTTTTAGCCTTTTTACATATTGTACTGTTAACAAATTCTATTGCTATTATTATGGGAATTTTTATCAGCTACTACTTTGCAGAAAATCGTTTTTCAGCCAAACGTCTAATTAAATAGTTATTAATTGTTTAAGAGATTCATAATCTACTCGCAAGATTAAGCAACTGTATTGTGGGCAACACTGTATTCTGCAGTGTGACATAGTAGCCATGATTTTTGTCCTCTATTCTACGCGCCATAAACACCAATGTTGCCTGCTGAACAGTTGCTGAACAGCTGTTCCTTACATTTGATCGAAAAGTGGTCTTGAACAAAGTTGTAGCTGAGCAAATTTTCAACAAGCTCATCTATCATTTTTTAAAGTAGAGTGAACTGGTGAATTTTGAGATAGATATGAATCGAAATTATTCTTTCTCCATAGTAGGGTTTTTGGTCTAATTTCCGTCCTACTAAGCACAACCTGCACTATACCTCTCTTTTCTGAACGAGTTTAAACATAAAAAGGAATATTTCTGTCAAAGATGACTTCTAAATTTATTCACCTTTCCCTACGTACCGTTGGATTTGATAAAAAGTCACAAATTGTTGAGATATTGCTTAAAATCTAAGACTATTTCTTGATTCTAAATTCGTTCTACGAGTTTCAATTCCGTTCAAACGCATTGAAACGCCATTACATTTTCTTCGTCCTACGGATAAACGTAGAAAAAGGGGCTACGCTAGGAGCGCTTCTTTTGTTTTGAGAACAATGAGCGTAAATAATCATACAATGCGCTATAACAGGGTTTATGTTGTAGCTAATGAACTTACGCATCGAAACAAACCTATTATTGATTTGTGCACGGTGAAATCATTGATATTATTGATTTTTTCTGATTGATAGAACGGAAATGGGCGATTAAGACGAAGTAGCGCTTTACCCTAATTCCTATATAAATTTCAAATGGTTTGTGCCAAGTCAGTTTCTCACTGGATGAGTTCAAATTTTAGGAGGCTAATCAGGGCCCAATTTGGAACCGTCTGAGCACTGTGGAGCGAAAATTTCAAATTTTGCATCAGTCTAGTGTCCATGTTTTAGCTGGTAGTCTTTTGTTATCATATGACTCGGGGAGGCGTGAAGTAGGAACTTGTGAGGACCAGGGCTAGGTATTCCGTTCCTTCCAGGTTGTCAACTCACCATTTTGTAGCCCAGGAATTTTTGGGATACATATGGTTAATTAAGAAAATACCGTTGTAAAATTCCGTTATGAGTACGAGGATGGATCACAAAATAAAAATATATACGAGTGCTAAAGAGGAAGTTGTTGTCGCTTTAAGGTTCAATTTACTTTGATGCTTTTTGGAAAATTTCAAAAGCAGTTTTTTCCGACGCATTATTTCAGATTGCAAAAAGCTCGCACTATTCGATTCCTTTTGATATTTTACACAAAATGACGCGAGCTTTTTGCAATCTAAAATAATAAGTCGAAAAAAACTGCTTTTGAATTTTAAAAAAATGCATCATAGTAAATTGAACCTTAAAAGGTTTTAAAGGGTGTATGTATTCGATAAAAATGGCACACAGAAAATCTTCTGTAACTTTTGAACCGTATGAGTAAAAAACCTGAAAATTTGAGTAAATCTTATTTATAGTGTATTGTTTACATCTGTCAAGTTGTTATTCATACAGTAGTTTCAGTCATGTCGTCGAAACAAGAAATTGTCCGTGAAATAATTTTGTGCACTTACAATCAAAATCCAGAGGCTTGGAATTACAAATACAAGTATGTCTCGTGTGATAAGGAAAAGGGATGAGGGTAAGGAAGGAAGGGAGTGGTCGTAAAAAAGTGGTCCAATGGACAGTAAAATGGCCAGGAAAGTGATGCAACAGTTCAACAACCGTCCAAACATGTCAATTCGACATGTCGCTAAAAAAAAGTCCAAGGTGTCAGTCGGTTTTGCGCAGAAAACCATGAAGCGTGCTGGGTTAGGAGTTGATGCAGGAGTTGACAATTTGACGTAAATCGATGGAATAAATGTGTAACCGTTCGCGAAGAATGCTCGAGGTTCAAGTGAAACTCGGTGGCTTAAGCGCCACTCCCTTTACGAGAGGCCACCGGTCGT